GCCGCCGACCGGCCGCTCTTCCGCGTCAAGGGCCCGCTCGCTATCACTAGCCAGTGCGACTTCGAGGTAAGTATTTTCATACTCAGCTTATAATATTTGCGCTCAAAAACATAAAATGAATGAACTCCTAAATGTAACAGTGTTTCGATCATTTCAGATATACAACATGGACAAGAAGCGTGTGGGTACGATCCGTAAGAAGTGGGGGGGATTGGGGCGGGAAGTTTTCTCGAGCGCCGACAACTACGTCATCGAGCTGCCCGCTGACCTGGACGTGCGCTATAAGGCCGCCCTCCTCGGCACCTGCTTCCTCATAGTACGTCACACATGAGTACCTAGCAGAGACACCTAGCGGATAGTTAAAGAAATGTACTTTGAACAGCAACTACGTCCAGCAAGAAAGTGTTTTTAAAAAACTATAACCAAATCATCAAAATAATGGATTGGCGTGAAAATGTTTAGCAAACAATTGTATAATTAACACCTTAAAACTTAAATAACTTTTGTATGGGTTTTGTTTTACTAATTAATTAATAATTTTCACAGGATTTTATGTACTACGAGAACTGAAACGTATGTTATGCGCGGCGCTGCACGCGGATGTTGAAGAGAAGTTGGTGCGCGGGAAATGTAAAGTACCCAAGATTGTGCCTCATGACAGGAAATCACACAATACTTTAATTACGATAATTTAATTATTTACAGAATACAAAAACATTTAAGAAATTTATAGACTAGGCATAGTGAATAATTTTTTTCCGGTAACTTCTTTGAAAGGTACTATGTCACCTCATGTCCTTGTATTAACATGTAATAAAACATTTTACAAAATTATAATAAGCTCCGTCATGTGTTCTAAACAGATTATAACCATTAAATATGATATAGTGACATCTATTGGCAATTAATTTAAATACTATTTAAAAAACATGTGGTTTTGAGAAACTATCAGTAGATGGCGTTTGTCAAAAAATGTGTTTCAAGTGACCTACGCCAACTCTATATATTTTTTTAATGTTTGGTTATACAGTATAAAGTAACGTAAAAACTTTATAGTGATTGTTTGCTGTAAATTAAATGGTAAAAATAAAAAGCGTCACAAAATAAAATTAAATATTTACAAAAAAAATAAGTCTTTTAATTTAAATTTTAAAAATAAGTGACATCTATTGCCTTGTTGAATAACTAAGTTCAAAAATACAACTGATGAAAGCTTTTAATTCCAAAACCAGAACATAGATGGCGTAAATAAAAAGGAAATTTGTATTTCGCAAGCACTCTACTACCATCGAAAGCGTATAAGAGCAAGTGGAAAATACACTAGGCTATATTGTTTGTAGTCAGTACATTATAATACATAAAAATAATAATATATATTTCCGACTGACAGTCGGAAGGTCAAAGGTTTTTTTAAAGTATTGTACGATGTTATGATTTGTAGAAATTGATTTGTAGTTATGATTTGTAGATATTATAATGATTTCTTATCTAACGAAAAAAAAAAAACAAAACTTCATGTCGCAAATTCACAATATTTTCATTTCGAACGAGCAGATAGAACTTGTGTGTACGTAGCTTAATAACTAAGTGCGCTAATTACCATAATTAAGTTGCAAAGTTACATTTGCATAAGCACTGCAGCCGGAACTCTCCCGCACAAAGCGCGCTTCACAGATTTGAATAGTTTCATGTTATTTATTTAAGTTAATCCTAATGTAAGTTGAAGGAGCATAAAGTTAACATGATGCTTCTGCTCAGTACTTCAGTTTCAGACATTCTCGTTTCAAACCTTATAATGTATACATTTCTTTTATACATTAACATAATTGTAAGGATAAATATCTCTAGGAAATTATGGTTATGTTTTAAATAATTTTTGCTTCACTTATCCGACTTTTGAATCATACAATACAAGTACACAAGAGTATTTAGAAGATGAAATATGTGTCGTGATGTCGGGATTTCTGGAACAAACCATTATTTATCCCATAAATACTAGTATTATCAAGTGTATGTTGTCATAAAGTACTTACCTGATTGCGCGGAACGCGGAGACATATCGTGATATTAAATTAACGTTGCAAATAAATACGATGGCAAAATTGACAGTGAATTAATAAAATAAATGAGTGTTTAAATGAAAATTTTGCCTTCATTATGATTATTTAAATCCGCGTCGACGCAATGTTTGACTTACAAATTGGAAATGGAAATAAATTATGCTAAACGATGGCAGTCGGCAGCAGCCAGCGCCTAGCGCCGCCTCGCGGCAGCCTGCCCCCTGCGGACTGTTTCATATTGAAATTACACTTTTCTTAATAGCAGACAATACATCTTCTAGATCTAACACAGAGCAGTGCTACTGCTTATTTATTTACGGCTATAAATTATTCTGATCATCGATTTAATTTCGATAAGGCCAAAGTTGCACTAACCACATTGACGCTACCTTAAGATAGTCACTAGACCAACATCTTGTACTAGTTTATGTGAATTTCAGAGTTCTCGATCTTAAAAAAGTTAAAAAGACATCGATTTTTTTAAATTCTTTATGAATATGTTAATTGTAAAATATTCTAATCTAAATTCTTTTTGTAATCAATTGAATGGAAATGAAACTTTTTAATTCCACTTTCTTGTCAACTCGGAGAAAGCAAATTTCCGTGACGGGATTAAAGGAAATTATTTACCTGCTTAAATTGGCTGTTATACAATTTCCGGAAGCCATTTGTTGGCAAAAGAAAATGTCATAATGTGTTGTTGAATGAGACTCGATGAGTGTAATAAACGGTCATGACAACGGACTAGTGTCGTGTCACAATTGGCTATAGCAATTATACCTGAAATGGTTCCTCGGAGTCCATGGCAAGGGTGTAAGTGCAGCTAACAAATTGAAAGGTATGCGAATTATTTGATCGCGTACGTTAAAGTAGCGCGAAGTACATACATATGCGCTTTCTGTTTTTCTATGTGGACTATTTGTTTCATATAATTAGATACTGATTATTACAAGACCTACAGTGAATTAAACTTAAAACAAAAAAAATCTACAAACAAATTTACATTACAAGGAAACTAAGTAATGCAAATTTGCAATGTCCGTACATTTAAACATGGATTGTAAATTTGCACAGGCGAGCGAAACTAACATTTCCCTCGGGATTAAATCAGCTCAATAAGGAGGCTGTCCGTGAAGTCTCAGGCGGGCAGGCGGCAGGCGGCAGGCGGGCGGTGAATGTTTGTGTTACTCTGCAATTTCTTTAATTTTCCTCGCACTTCTTGTACGAAAGTCTCCTTTACTTCCTCTCGTTTTTTGCAAACAAAACAATAGCCGGAACAAAGTATTGCATTCGGAGAAACAATTAACATCTTAATTTGTTAAATCGGTGGCATTCGTCTGTTTGCAACTGCTGAGGACAGACAATGAAATGTAATTTCAGTTGTGT